GCGAAGGCGATGAAAATTTTTTTAATCCTATAAGCTCAAAATGCTTCAATAACAGGTTAGTTTTCCTTTCAGGTTAATAATGAATCATTTACGAGGAAAATTCATAGTTTTATTTTGAATACATTAATTTTCAGTTAAAAATTAGATTTAAAATCCCATTAACTAAACTATTCGCCTTATCTAATACATTCAGATTATTTATGCGAACTTAAATAAATATTAAATATTATTAAAATAGTGCAACTTTGTTTATTTTCTAAATGATAAGACATTATCACATGCTCTGAAAATCATCTATCTCCATCTAAAGATACTTCAAGAAAAGTATTTTTGATTTATCCTTACGATACACTCATAAAATATATCGATTGGAAATATATTTAGTAGTTACTAGATCCTTCAGGCTTTGTTGAACATTTATTTTCGAACAAACTATTCAGAATCCTTTCTAAAAGAGCTGCGAGGAAAAAAAGAATTTAAAAAAAGATGTATTTTAGAGATAGTTTTTATTGCACAATTCTCGTATAGCAGGAAAAAAAACTGTCACTACTTATAAGGAGAAAGAAAATTTGGTAAATTTATCGTGCTGTATATAAACGAAATTTCAAGTAAAAAACAACAACGTAAGTTTAGTCAATAAAACCAAAAAATATATTTAAGCTATTCATTTAGTAATTTTTCCTTATTGGCTAAACCACTTTGCACGCGCTTGTCTCTACCCTAATTTGACGTTTTGACACTGAAAAAGGTTCTTGTTTATAGAACTGAAATTATAGTTTGTAAATTATTTGTGCTTTTTTTCGCGTTGTGTTTTGCTTCCGACTATCGTATTTTACTTTTTTATTAAGAGCTAGGTTTAAAATAAACCTAGCTCTATATTATAGAACAGGGGTTTCCAACTGGCGGCCCGCGAAGCCTTTTTTTGTGGCCCTCGAACTAAAATGTATTTGTTGTCATTTTTTTGCGGACAATTTTCGTAAGAATCTGAATGGCTTTAAAATACTTTTCTCGTTTAAAAAAACCTAATTTCTTCGTTTCTGTGAAACTTAACATACCAACCGTGCAAAGAAATTCATTTTTCAGGTTTTGCATTCAAGAAAATATTTATTCAAATCCAAAAATAATCGTGTATGATGCTCTTTTTCATTTCATTTTTTTTTTTTTTTTTTGTATTTTGTGAATATAACTTAGCATGGGCGTATCAGAAATTTTCTCGAAGAAATTCTCCGATTTAACTTTTTAACATTTAACTTTTTAGCATTTTTAACATTTGTAAATTTTAAATGTAAATATCTATTCTCTGGTAGTTGCAGCAGACAAACCTCAATTTAGTCATTCAATATTTTGTTTACTACTATGTAAGTTTTAATGCCTTAACAATTAGATATCTGTTGCACATTAATTGTTTAATACATAGGTGCACATTAAATTATTGTTGCCCGAATTTTTATTATTTATTATTTTTTAAAATATTATGAATAACAATTAAATATAATTAAATATTTTCAAAAATCTACTCATTTTAATTTGTAATTCAATACTTTTGTTTTCTACAATTTGGTAAAACTCTGACAGTAATATTTAATGTTCCTTCAAACATAAAAGAGTCCTACAAAAAATTTTGATTAAGTTGCTGCCCGCCATTTGATTTGTGTCAAAATCAAACCGGCCTCATGCAAGTTGGAAACCCCTGTTATAGAATATTAAAAAATCATAAATTAGTGCTGACATTTGAGTTACAATATTGATAATAAATTTAACTGATGATACAACCTATTTTTATCCATTTCTGAGACAATTAAAAATGGCAGTCATTTTTAAATATTGATGCAAATTTTGTATTTCCTAAGTTTTAAAATCTCGGAACCAATCAACAACAGTTTTTCTCTAATTTTGCAAAGTATAAGATTATATGCACTCCAAATAATCTTCTTTGATCTCAACAACATCATATTACGCTTTTAGTAAGTGCCATATTTTGAATATTTGTTAAATTAGTGAAAATTCCAAAAACTATAAAATACATTAAACAATCGAGCTTCCACTTATGAAGATAATCACCAGAAAAATCTCATTATTTTCAAAATCTTATCATCTTAGCTTAATTACGTGATTTTTGCATATTAATGCCGCTAATTATAATACTTAAGAAGAGAATATTTTTAATTGAAAGGAAATTATCAAAGTAATCTAATTTTAACCGTGTTATTTTTATTCTTAAGTGATTTCTGAGTTGTAAAGAGTGAATTATAAAGAAATTTTAATTAGTTTTTGCCTTTTATTTTAAATTAATTGTTTGAGCAGGAACCTGTCATTAAAAGATAAAATGAAATTAGATATCCGAAAAATAAAATAGTTCCCAAAACGTCTTTTCTTTACAAAATTTAATTAAAACATTTCACTTCGAAACATTTTTATACTGAAAGATAAAAATGAACTGTCATAACCACACAGCAATAACAGCGTTTCGTACTGAATGCGCTGTAAACACTCCCTTAACAACCACTGTTTACGAATTATATTAGAAATTCTTAAATGTTTTGATATTGTTAAGTTGTTTGGGAAAAACATTTTTAGCTACTCTTGGTAAATTATGTTTAGAAGAATCTTGTAAGCAATATATTTTAAATGAAAATTTAAAATATTAATGATGAACTTAAGTTTAAAGTGCAGAACACACAATCAAATTTTAAGACTAAATTTATTTTCAAACCTAATTTAGCTTATTATCATTATCACACAGCTAATTTTGCGCAGTATGTTTTGCTTTTCATATCAATTTTAATTAATTTTTTTGCTTTCTTCAGCGAAAACAAACATGTTTGACAACAATTCTCATCGAGCTAAGTTTATCCATATCAGCAAAAAAATTGAGAGATTATGACGGAGATCATATTTTTTTTCTTCTGTTTCTTGTTGCAGCAGATTTTATAACGGTTCTTGGATATTTTCGAACCGCTGATTTCAAATCTGCAATCCGTTTCTCTCTCTTTTTCCAATCTACAATTTTTTAAATTACATTTTTAGTCTATTTTTTGTCAAAATGCCTAAGTTTAAAAACGTTATCTATAACAAGGGTTTCAATGTACAATTTTTTAAATTACATTTTTAGTCTATTTTTTGTCGAAATGCCTAAGTTTAAAAACGTTATCTATAACAAGGGTTTCAATGTACAATTTTTTAAATTACATTTTTAGTCTATTTTTTGTCGAAATGCATAAGTTTAAAAACGTTATCTATTACAAGGGTTTCAATGTACAATTTTTTAAATTACGTTTTTAGTTTATTTTTTGTCGAACTGCATAAGTTTAAAAACGTTTTTTTTAGCAAGGGATTCAATGTTCTTCAAATTCTAAAGTGTTTTTAATTTAATAAGACTTTTAAAAAACTGTATTTTAATGTTATATCTCTTATATTATTTACTATACATAGTATTTAATAACTAATATTGAATATGAAAAGTAATGACGTAATTAAATTTGATATTTATCAATATTGAGACTCGGTGATACGTAGGGGAGTATAGCACGATAGTATGAGAAAGCTGTCGTTTAAAAAAATCTTTTTTCGACCACCCAGCTTTATATCAATAAGGATCAGGTTGGTGACAAGTAAATGCGGCAAGCGCGCAATCTCGACCACATTGCCACCATCATACCGATGATCTCGAAATTATGGAGTCTTGAACTCCGTGTTTATTGTAGAGTAATTTTTTTCTTTTTATTTAATTTTATGAATGAATTCAGTATTATGACGCCATTTAATTCAACAAATGATAAATGAAGTTGCTAATATTAACATAATTTGGTGAATCAACGGACCTATTTAAATAAAAAAATAAATTCATTTATTCATTCGTTATAAAATTAAAAGTGAAAGCCAGATCGAGCAAAATCTGGTAAAATTACTGTACTGTAAATGAAGAAAATAATAAATAAAAAAACAAAATCTGAATTATTTATTTAGTAATTTTTCAATTCATATAGGAACAGCAAAACTTCTAGTTTTCAATTATTCTTATTATCACACATTCAATAAAAATAAAAAATAAAAAAACTGAAAATCACCAAATAAATGGGTTTTATGTATTGCTATAAGGTATCATTATAAAATTACCAAATTGGATCACATTTACCAAATTTTTATCACATGTTATAAAAAAAATTCTACTAAAATTACTGTACTGGAATGACACATTTTAAGTATAAAAAAAACGTAACCTAAATTATCTATTTGGTAATTTTTCAATTCATATAGGAACAGCAAAAGTTCTAGTTTTCAATTATTCTTATTACCATACATTTAATGAAAAAAGATTTTGAAAAACTGAAGAGCAAATTCAGCCAAATAAATGAGCTTTATGCATTTCTGTAAGATATTAGAAAACTACCAAATTTGACCACATTTACCAAATTTTAGCATACGTTATAAGAAATTCTACTAAAATTACTGTACTGTAATGTAAATATAAGTAAAAAAATATAAGCAAATATATGTAAAAAAAACATAACCTAATCTTTTTATTTGGTAATTTTTCAATTCATATAGTAACGGCAGAAATTCTAGTTTGGTATTATTCATATTACAACACATTTAATTTTAAAAAATTTAAAAAAAAAAACCTAAAAGGCAAATTTAACCAAATAAATGAGCTTTATGCATTGCTCGAAGGTATTATAAAACTACCAAATTTTACCACATTTGCCAAATTTTATCACATGTTATGAAACCATATTTCATTGTTAATTTTATCAAAATCATTAATGAAATGCATCCGTAAAAATTATCAAACTTTTTTATGTTTCTAAATAGCCAGAAACACGGGAAAATTTACCATATTCTGATAGTTTTGACCATACTTTTTTCTCAGTGCTATAAAGCAACTGAATTTATAATACAGCTTAGTTTAGAAATTGAATTCATAACTTACTTTGATGTGTTTTATTTTACAGATTTTAAAACAACACTAAATGAATCCAACTAATAATAAATGCACTCACCGCTCTCCACGTACATTCAATGAGTGGCTTCGTCAATTCGAACACTAAAGTTAGTTTTTTGCCAACAATATTTGGCATCACAGCTAAGAGACTGTTTCCTATTGTTCTAATGACTAGATATTCGTCGAATACTATACAGAAAGGAAATATTTCAAGAAAGAGGAATGCCTGTACGGGCATCATGTTCTTGTCTATTCTCTGAACGTTTTGTCGTCGGTCTAACTGAAAAGCTCGATTGTCGAAGGTCAGTTGCATCATGACATGCAAAGTGTCAAAGATAGTCTCTTCTTTGAGAACCTCGATGACAACATCTGTTTTGTAGAAGTGTCGGCCAACTTCCTGAAATTAAAAAGTATAACAGTTTTTTAAGCCACTTTTTAACTATACATATTTATAGATGTAATACACTTCAAACATGTCATACTCATGTACACATGTATACATGTTATGCACTTTTTAACTATATAGAGGAAGGCTATAATTTAACAAATATAGAGGTATTTCAACAACTATTAAGTCATTTATTAAAGAATAGGGTTAGATTACCATTTAACAAGCACAAATATTACTTGATTAAAAGACTCCAGACATAATATACAGATTGGAAATAACAGTCGGCATGTTTTAAGCGCTCAAAAATAGGAGCCCATTTTCAAGACTTGCCAGACGTGAATGAGAAAAAACAAAATTAATTTGAAATAAAAAACGTAAAGTTGCCAGCAAAAAAAGTGGGGGAAACAAAGGTGAAAAACAAAACTATAAAAACCTATAGTAGCAGAGAAAGAATAAAAATAAACATGAAAAAAAACAGAAAAGGGAAAACGCAGAGGCCGAAAGGGGCAAATCAAGATAAAATGCATTTCCATGTGCTATGGAGAGGTGGTGAGGAGCTAATGTCGTTAACAAGGGAATCAGCTTTCATGTGAATCAAACAGGATTCCAGGGCATCAAGATGAGCTGGAATGGAAATAATTTTGGTCAAAATGTTTGAAGCGAATGATTTTTTAATCAATTAATATCTTACCACTTCAGTTTCGTAGGATTATTAATTTAGAACATAAATATGATACTTTTTAAAGTGAGTAAGTACTTTCCAAATTCAATAGAGTATGACTATAGTTTAACAAATACAAGTATAATATCCTTAAACATTCATTATTAAATGAAGGATTTTTGTAATTTAACGAATGTGAGTAAGAGATGTTTTAACAATTTTAAAACCTTTTCATTATTAAATACAGAATTACTGGAATTTAAAATATATGAATATGAAAGGTTTAAACAAGTTTTAAGACCCTTGACCATTAAATACAGCATGACTTTCTTATTAAATAACAAACGTGAGAAAAAAATTTAACCAACATGTAATATACCAACTTATGAATTATTAGATTAGTAACAAGCACATTTCAATGATCAAAATTTTTTGAACTTAGCTCCCAATACATGTTAAATGTTAATTAAAATGCTTATCCTATACAGGGTGTCCCAAAAGGTCGTTTACAAACTTAACATGCTGGTCTGTCATATCATGATGAACAAGATTTACATAGGAACTTGTGTCCGAAAATTAAAACTGAGACCGCTAGAGGGCGATAAGTGCAGATTTGGATGAGGAGAAAAAAAATGATATCGATAGCGGTGTTAATATGATTTTTATTATAAATCATCATTACATCACAGCAAATGCTCAAAATTCCTTCCATTCGCCACAATGCACGTTTCACAGCGTCGGCGCATGGATCCACGAACCCGTTCGAATTGGCCAGGAGTGTCACGGACACGTGCTGCTGCTTCCGCGATCCTGGCGATAAGATCCATGTCCGATGTTACAGGTGTCTCGTACACTATGGACCCACAGGTAGAAATCCAGGGGAGTCAGGTCGGGGGCATACTCCTGTAGCACGGTTTCCTCTACGACAGGTGTGCGTGTAGCACGTTCTCGACCGATGTGGCTACGTGCTACGAAAGCACCTGATTCACATAATCTGCTGTGCAATCGTCCAAACAAAACATGACTTGGCTGATGTCTGTTTGGGAAGCGCTGAATGTGCGTCCGTGCCGCGGCTCGTCCATTTCCATCAGCGGCGTCGTATACGTAATGCATGTCGGCCATTTCTGCGTTCCTAAACTCATTCATCCTTCTCCTTCAACGTCCACGCCTGAAATGATTGTTTTTCCCACTCTCCCGTTTTCGTGCAATTATCGCCCACTAGCGGTCGCAGTTTTAATTTTCGGACACAAGTTCCTATGTAAATCTTGTTCATCATGATATGACAGACCAGCATGTTAAGTTTGTAAACGACCTTTTGGGACACCCTGTATAATGGTGTTATTTATTCTGATTCAGCAGAATATTTGAAGTCTCAAATCTGTAAGAATATTTCCAAACATTTCAATTAAAATATAGCACTCAAACATCGATTTTCCTATTCTGCTTACTCTTTTTTGATACTGGTCATGATCGGTTATTTTTTAAACTGTTTACTTTTTACATCAACCACAGTGTTAACATAAAATAACCAAGGACCATAAAATAACCATTATGAGTTTCAATTCCTTTGTCGTCGGTTAAGCTTGAATAGGTTTTCGCAGATGCGAGTTGATTTCACTCAAAACTCCTCCACAAAGCCAGGTTTGTCTTCATATTTAAATTAGGAATTTCTTCACATGCAGCGTTTGAGTCAGAATAAAAGTTTAACATTAAGATTAAACAGATGCGAGTTAATTTCACTCAAAAGTCCTCCACAAAAGCAGGTTTGTCTTTATATTTAAATCAGGAGTTTCTACTCTTGCAACGTTTGAGTCAGAATCAAAGTTTAACTTTAAGGCGATGCGGAGTTGAACATATGGATCACAAATCAGCAATATATTTACAAGGATTGTTCAGATGTTATGTAACATAATCACAGGTTACAATCTCATTGGCTTCGGTAAATTGCAAAGGTTTTTCGCATCCTTTTCCTCTCCATGGTTAATGCCAAATGCGAGTTAATATAACTCAAAACTCCTTCATAAACACAGCTTTGCCCCCTCACACACATTTAAATCAATTTTCTTACATCATTTTGGTCAGAACCAAAATTTAACACAAAGATGTGGCGGAGTTGAACAGAGAGAGGCGCTAATGCACGAAAACCAAGGGGATTAACGGTTTTTGTCCATTTTGCACAAAAATGATGATTAGATCAACATCTGTGCAATTTTGAGGATTACTAAGTTTTGGAAATTAAATAACATTAAAAATCGGTGTTCCCCAAAATTTATTATGCTTCGAAGATGAGCCATGCTGGAGAAAAGCGGTTCTTGTCCCACATGATTTTCAAATTTAATTTTTCTCAACATCAAAAATTCTAAGACTTGTTTTGAAATTTTTGGAAGATATAAATAAATGCTTGTGATATTCATAAACCTTTTTATTTTTGCGATTTCAATCATACACTAGTTCCTGAATAATCTCAAACTTTTTTTTTCCAATGCCCATCTGATTGACATTTGTCATTCAGTTATCAGTATGACAGATTTGCTGACCACTCTTTCAGGGCACCATATAAGGTGGGTCAGCATTGCTCCAACAGTAAGGACAGATAGTACAGAGGGTGAAAGAACAACGACACCAGGACCTTTCTGATGTGAGGTCAGCTCCCTGACCACTACACAGTTCGTTTGGGAAACGTCTCAATCTCGAACCTTTAAATTCGGTTGTTCTCAGAACTGGCTTTCATGGATATAAACAGTTAATCCCCCTCTGTATCGGTTGTTCATCTGTTATAAGACATATGGATTGGCCAAAGCTCAGTGTTGAAATGAAACCTCAAAACTGCTCCCAAGATCTACTCCCTTCTCAAAGAATGCGAAAAAAAAGAAATAATTAAACACTGACAAGAATTTTTAAATTCGATTGAATTGTTATCAGAATAACTATTAGTTATACACATTGTATTTAAGTCTAAACTTAGTAAAAACTTTCACTTACTCGTATTTGCCCAATGGTGTACCAAAGAAATCCTCGTCGTGTACTTCTGTAGTGCAAAGTGAGTCCAGAAGAGGTCTCGTTTTCGCAGAAGAAAGATGGCGCCTTCATTCTTGGATAACTGAACTTCAGGTACTCATGGAGATTGTCAAGACCATTGAGAAAATCTCTCATGTGACGCCCTAGAACACCCAAAACTCTATCGTAGCCATATTGCCCAACAAAAGAGACGAAATACACTCCCATTTGATCCAAGAATTCTCTTTCTGATACTCCAAGAACCTTGAAAGAAAAAAGAAAACTTACTCAATCGAAAATTTGCAGTTAGTACAGTAATTGACTTCAAGGTTAATTAGTTCAAATGGAATATATTATCATAATTTCAAATCCATATAAGTAAAGTAATTTGCTTTTTATTTATTTTCTTCAATCAAGAATAATAAACTAATTAATTTTAAAGAAAGCATAGAAAGTGAGACCGCTCTTATGCGTCTTTCCAAGCACATGATTTGTGTTCGTCTGCTAAACACTACAGTCACAGTTAAGTAATATAGATGATGGTTACAGTTAGTTATATGACATTATCAACGTCTAAATCTGTTTATTCCGAGTGCGCCATTGCGTAAATTTACATTAATACACATTACTCACACTACGCCAAGTAGTAGCTGTTGTTGTCGTAAGGCCATTAAGGCAGCTGGGATGAGATTGTTCTTGATTTCCAGTGGCGCCATCTGTGGCCAAGAATTTGACTTCTGCCAGCCACACCCATTCGTCAGACCCGTTTATAGGGCGGACCCATGCATACATCCATTTAATTATCGACAGGCGGGTTCACCACCCACGCGTGACATCACTTACAGGGACCCAATTCAGCCAAAATACAATCTAAATTTGTCATGAAAACATATTATTTAACAACAGTAAATCATCTTTTTACAAAAGAAAGAGGAAATGTATTCTCTTTCTTGTTTAAAATTAAAACCAATTGAACGTTCTTAATTCTTTTTGTACTGCAACGGGTTAAACAATTTTAACTATTTAGAACACACTTCACTCGCTCCATGCAACAGAACTTGCCCATTATGGTTGGTGTTTTCGACACTAGGGGTGCAGTGGAAGCTCTTTACAGGCTATACTTCCGTGTTTCTCTTTCCGGAGCATTTTGAAGCCATTTGCCTCACAATGTGATCATTGTATTTTAAGACTCTCTTAAATATTGCTTGTATACTTGTATTTGTTACTTGATTTATTATTTGTGTTTAAAGAATGTATCGTTATTTGGAAGAAAGAAAGAATCGTTATAAAACACTTCTCACCTTGTCAACAATATACCAACTTAGAAATTTAAACCTAAATGATAATTTGGAAAATGAACTTAATCTCGCTGCTCTAACATTATGCTAGCACTAGCATATGATGGTGCACGGCCAGCAACAAGAACAGTAACAAACATGTAAAAAAAGGCTAAATCAGGACTGCCAAAAAAAACTGCTTTTCGAAAACTAGTGTCACCTTTTTTAACAATACATCTATAAATAGCTGAAATAATTTTTCACTTCAAACTCGCCAGAATTACTTAATATCTTATGAAATACAACAGATTTGAGTTTAGACAATATATAATTCCTTTTATTAAAAACAAAGTTATCTGTTTGAAAATATCACCTCACAGAATAAGCCGTAGTAAGCAGCTGTATACTTTCTAAGGAATGGTATACAGCTGGAAATATTTAGCGGAAGTGGGGCTGGTCAAGAACTCGAGATTGTTGTTTACAATTTGAAAACACCATCAATATGAAATATTTTAAATGAGCTGCATTCCAATTTTCTTCTAAAATTGAGAGACAATTCAGCAAATCTTCTTGTGGTGAATATTGCTTAATATTCCTTTTATAAAACCTAGCTACCATAAAACTTTTCTTTAAATAACACCTAAAACTTGAGATAGAATTTCCAGTTATTAATTTTGAAGCAAAAAGAAAAACAATTTTTTTCCTCCCATTATGTAAAATTAATTAGTTTCGCTTTAAGCTAAAGTAATAAGTTCCTAAGGATTCCTTTAAGAATAATGCCGTTTATATTCAAAGGTTGAAAGGGAAAAAAGTAAAGATAAACATTATTTTTGACGCGCATAGGATATTTTGATAACACAGCATTATTAGAAAAAAAGATCTTTTTCGTAAATTCCCAAGCTATTATATATTTTTAATAGACATATTATTTGATAAATATGAAAATAATTATCAACTTTTTATTCATGAAGTTTTATGTTTCAAATTTTAGTTTAGGTTTAAAATAAAAGGCTAATAATGTAAAAGCAACACAATTTCAACGTCTCATAAATATATGAATTATTCATAATTTCTCATATTTTCTGATATAAATCACTTAACTTTTTTGCTAATATAACTGAGTCATAATAGGGATTACCATGAATAATGAATATCAAAAAATTTTTGATTGATGAAGGCCATGAAAAATTAAACATTTTTGTTTCTCTTTTTAATTTTCTCTTGTTTTAAAATTTCTTAGATAATATTATTAAGCAAAAAATGGATTCACTTAATTTTGGCTAATTTACTGCTTTTATTCAACGCGAAAATTACACAGAAAACACTAAATCACTTGATTATACAATAGACTTCTCAAAAAAGTAAATAAATAAGTGAGTAAATGCTTCTTTTTTTTTAAATTTCATCGCAAAATTCCTTCTACGAAAACAAACATAATATTAAGAATATTACGTGATAAAACTTTGATAAAATAAAATTTATAGCATGCACATTTAATGTATTAAAGGTAACTAATTTTTCACAACCATCGTTAAACAGCCGACCCAATTTAGGGTTTACGACTACCAATGTTCAACTCCGTAGTCTTGAAATTTTGAACCTAATCCAGAAGACAGGGGAACTCCTGGAGCAAGTACTGGAAGAAATTTGTCTTCGTGGAGGATTTTTTGATGGAACTAACCCGTATTTGCATTGCATGGAGAGAAAAACCACGAAAACCTCCCAAGATTAGCCTGATGGTAAAGAGGCTAACACATGATCCGTCTATCACTAAGGATATTTTACGTCAGTACTGTGGTAGGTGGCAGTTGGGTGCGGAATTCGTATAGACCAGTCATCGCTAGGATTTGAACCCGGTTCACCTCACTGGAAAGCGAACTCTCTATTAGTACACATTTTTTAAAATTATAGTTATTACCACACATTTGGTTTTAAAAAAAATTGAAATAAAATTTTAACCAAATAAATGGCTCTTATGCCAAGTTCTAAGGTATTATGATAAAATTACCTAATTTTATCAGATTTATGAAATTTTTATAACAAAACAATATTTTCCATTTAATTTTACCAAAATCATTACCAAAGCGCTTCGGTAAAAATCACCGAGATCTTTGGTGTTTCCATAGAGCAAGAAACAATATTTTACCATATTTTGATTGTTTTGATCATACTTTTTTCCTCACAGTTACATTTTTAAAAAAAAAAACTATTTTTTGGAATTTTTTATGTAAAATAAAATTTGCTTTAGACTATAATAAATATTAAATAATTACCAATATTTAAGTACTAGTATGAATTTAAGCAACGATACGATACTCCAACCAATAACCAAGTTTTAACTAACAGGTTCATTAGAAATCAAGTAATCTTATACGCTAAGCAAAAAAAAATAATTAAGAAAATCAGATTTAAAGACAAAACTTTTAATAAATAACTGGGCAATTCCACGGAAGTGTCAACTTTTAAGTGAAAATTTTTTTTTTGAATTGCATATTTTAATTTTAAAAATATGTTCAAAAATAGCCAAAGTCTACATATTGCCGTTTCATTTTTTATAATTTTAAAATTTTTGAATCTGGAAGCATTCTAAAGTAATCACATGGCTGACAAGTGAATTGTTCACATTTGTGCTCAAATTGTTTTCTTGAAAAATACTTTTAAAATAAAAGAAATGTATCTTTCTTTTGCAATATTTTGATAAAAATATGCATATAGAACAAAATTTAAACATTTTAAGTTTAATATATAAAATAAAAGTAACTTCTTTTACGTCATTCCGTCACATGTCTTAATAATGCATAAATTTCCTGAGAACGAAGATAAGATGTGACATTGGCAAGTTAGATATAAAACCTCTTCAGAGACAACCTAATTTTCAAACTGTTGAAATTTTTACTAATTCTTACATAAATATTAATCCTGTTTATCTGTTACATTCTGTTTATCATTTACATATTAATAAAACATTTTTTAAATGAAGGCTTTCTTCTACTAAACTTTTTGTCATTCCGTCACGGTCATTCCGTCACAGCAAATAGATGTTAATAACTGCTAGCCAACCTGAGGTTAATTTTCCAAATTCACATTTTACATTGCTTACACATTATACTAAAAGTATAAAATAGTTCAGAAAAATAATAGCTGCAAAATTCGCAGAAACTACCAGTTCTAAGCGGCATGCCAAAAGCTTGGTTGCCAAAATGTCATTCCGTCACACAAATAAAAAGTTCGTAAAATTAAAAGTAAAAAAGATAGAAAATCCTGTTTTTTTAGTTTATGAAGCGCATTATGCCAATAATAATGATATGCATGAGAAAAAAAAATTTTTATTTGAAATTAGATACATAGAAACTTCAATTAATTGTTATTTTGCAAGTCAAAATGTCATTCCGTCGCATATGGAATTGCCCAACTTTAAAAAATACGTGATTTTGCAAATGATTCCACCTTAGAAAATGTGTGTATTATTTCCTGGTTTTAATAAGTGTGTTTTCATATTTTCACTAAAATTTTGGAAGTTTAAATTAATATTTTCTTATCAGCTCAGAATAAAAGCAGATTATAACACAGATTTTTTTTTTAAAAAAATTTACATTTTTGTTTCGAAAAACTATCTAAATTCCTTAAGATATGACCCTCTAAAGATTTGCTCTAATTTGTTACAATTAAAGTTTATTTATAAGCATTAAAACATACATTTAAAATACAATGATATACTTTTCATACATTTTTCATTATTTTGTATTAATTTAAGTCAGAGTAGGGGAAGATATTATATTTAGCACTTAATAATATAAGGTAATGGAACACTGCATGAAACACAAGTGTCGTGACAAAAAACACGGCTCACTTCCAAACAATAATTTTTCACTTATTTGCATTTACTTAGATTTAAGAGAAACAACTATCAATCATTGAAATTTATTTCATTTTCAAAATCAGTAATTGATAAGCTTTTGAATATGAATGGAGAAAAAAAACTACTTC